GAAAGAAGTGGAGGAAGTGGGCCTCCCTGGTGGCGCAGCGGTTGAGTGCTGGGCTGCGAAGCTGCCCACAGCCTCTGCAGCAGCGGCTGGTTGGATCCCCGGCCACCGGCGAGGGTCTCACATGGTGCACAGACCTCTCCTGCCGCGCCCACTGCTCCCCTCAGCAGTGTATTTTGTCAGTCTGCCTGTTCTGTTCCCCGCTCTGACTCTGGTGAATTCTCTCACCCTCCCATGCTTCTGACTGTACCCAATGTTTGCATAAATAAATAAATAAATAAAGAAAGAAAGAAAGAAATCTTTAAAAAAAAAAGAAATGGAGGAAGTACTCCAAATTGAAAGTCTCATTCCTGGATTGCTAAGCCAAGGAAAAGACAAAACCAAAGTGGAATCAGATACCATTGATGAAGAGTTAAAAATCTAGTACAGAGGAGAAATGGGACCATTCAAAAGATTTTTCAGCCCCATTTCAAAATTCCAAGTGGAAAACTGTGTGTAGTAAGTTGTATTGTAAACCATTAGCTGCAATCATCTCAAGAAGCTTATATTTGTTGTCTCTTTTATATCATATATTGAATTTACATAATTTATTTAGTGATAGGAGCCCTGCTGGTGCTTTCTGGTAAGAAAAATAGCATGACTTAATGGGTAATTTATTATGAAATATTTGAATATTCTTGTTGCCATCAAGATTTTTGGTTCTTACTCAAAATGTAGACATGCTTTTTAAAAGTGATTACTTTTATTTTTCGAACAGTAAAGTGCATATATTTCACATTATAAAATATTAAAATTGTAGAAAACTAGACAAATAGAATATTTTCCATTCTCTTTTCTTTACAAAATCCCCTCAGAAGAGATACCTCCTGTTAGTCCACTGGCCAAAATCCTTCCTATGCAATTATATGTGTGTGTTTTATACATCTTATATTTTTAAACATAAACATGATCACATGTGTGTTGTGAGGCTTGGTTTTATATTTAAGAAGATGTTTTGGATGCATTTCATTGTCACTTCAAAAAGAATTTATTATTTTAAATGATTGCCTCATATTCTGTCTTATTAAGATTGTATATATTTAAAGACACTTTCCTTTTGATGGACACTTCTGTTGTTTCCTACATTTTAAAATTATGAGACAATATCTCAAAATAAATAATAAACCTCATATTTATATTATTGTGCACATGTGAAAATATTTATCAAAGAATTGTAAAGATGAAGCTTATAAATTGAAGGATGGAATCATTTAAAATTTTGGTATATATTACCAAACTGGCTCATTAAACCTTTGTTAATATTTTATTGACTGGTTAAATCTTGCTTATGTTCAACATGCTATATAGTTACATATAAATTACATTTTAAAAATATGATACAGATGCTTTTTTAAATATATAAATTTATACAGGAAAGTTTTTAATACTTCAGTTTATTATGCAAAATTTTATATTTTGACAAGTGAAATATATTGGCTTATTCTCCTAGGAATTTCCATTTTGGTCTATTGTAGGAAGAATTTCTATGATAGAAAGTAAACCTTTATGTATTTTTATATTTTTTGCTAATAAAATTTATTGATGTATTTTTATTTATATTTTTCTTTTATGTGTAGATATATTATATATATAGTTAATTTTTGTTAATTTTTTGTTACTAATCATTTAGTTTTAAATTCCTCAGTTAGGTGTATATGACATGTGGTTTGGTACCAAATCACTTTTTTCTTCAGTATAGCTTATTTTCTACTATTTGTTGGGTAATTGATAACTTCTCAAATTATTTTAAATTCTCCCACATCCCCATAAATGAGTTAATTGTTTTACTTCATTCTGCTTCATTTATTGATTTGGCATTACTACACAAAATGATCAGTACTGTAATTTTGTAAAGGTGATTATAAGAGATTTAAATAAAATAACATTTTTATCATAAATAATTATCCATTTCTGCCTTTTCCGGTAGAGTTAAAAAAAAAAAACAGTCTTGTAAAGTATCCTATATTCTTTTTTTTTTTAAGATTTATTTATTTATGCATACAAGAACTGGGGCACAGGCCAGAGGCGCGGGGTGGGGTGAGAGGATTCACCAGATACAGAGTGGGGGACAGAAACAGGCGAATAGACTGAAATACACTGCTGAGGGGAGCAGTGGGCAAGACAGGAGAGGTCTGCGCTGCCATGTGGGTAGCTCCGTGGCCAGTGGTCATGCTACAGTGGCTACAGTTAGCTTCATAGGTTGCATCTTAACCTCTTGTGCCACCAGGGAGGCCATGTAGCATCCTACATTCTTATATCTTCATTCATCCTCAGAAAAGTGACATTTCAACAAAAAATGTTGAAATTAGATAAGGTGCAGTAGACATGGTCAGTTAAAATCTGTCTAGTTTTCTTTTGTTATTAATCTGAATCATTTCTAGCAAGTCAAAGAAAGTTTAGATATATCGTGAGTTACCCTTAGTAATTTGGATGTCAATCTATTGTCTTCCTTTTCTGTTCAAGTGGACATGGCTTATGGATATTTTGTGAACGGTTTACACATTAGCTGTGGAGTAAGACAAATGTCGCCATTTCATCACAGATGAAATTTCTGTTAGGGCAACTCTTACCTGAGATGAAACCTCATTGGGTGTTATTCATGTGTGTCAGCCAAAGAGTGACCCAAACTACATTCCCACTTATCACACTCCATTAATAGTAAAATGAAAACACATATCATTTAGATGAATTGCCTTATTTTTTAGAACATTCTCTTTTATATTTATTGGGATGTCACATCAGTTAAAACTAAATAGGACTAATCATGCAAGGATATTTCAATTTATTTTTTCATATTTTTTCATGATGCATTGTTTTGAAAGACACTAACTGAACATCTACTGTGAGTGATAATGTAATCAGGCCATTACAGGATTAAGGGACAAGGGAGCAAATTTGCATGCAAAAGAAAATGATCATAAGGAGGCCAGCACTGTATGTCTCTGTGTTTAGGAGGGGTCTGGGGAAAACTTTCAACTTAATCTTCTGTTCCAATAGCCAAGGGGAGATCTCTGGTACTTCTGGCATTACAAAATAGGCAGGTACATGTCACTAGAAGGGAGTAATGAGTAGCATGGACATGGGCACAGTAGGTGGGTATAGGGCTATGCAGAGATGTGCTCACAGGGAAGATAGAGTTCCCTGCATGCAGAAGCACTTATGTATTTGAGAGATGCACATAAAGAGGAACACCTCAATATGCATCTGCATTAGGTTTTTTTTTTAAATTTATTTACTTATACATACAAGAACTGGGGTGTAGTCCAGAGGTGGAGGGTGAGAGGATTCACCAGAGACAGAGTGGGGAGCAGAACAGGTAGATCTACTGAAATACACTGCTGAGGGGAGCAGCAGGTGAGTCAGGAGAGGTCTATTGCTCCACGTGGGTAGCTCCCTGGCTGGGGATCAAACTTGTGCTGCTTAGCTGCAGATTGCTTCATAGTGCTGTGCCTAACCCCTTGTACCACCAGGGAGGCCCCTCATCTGCATTAGTTTCCTACTGGAGATGTTAAAAAAATGATCTCAGGGCCTCCCCTGGTGGCACAGGCGATTGAGCGTAGCGTTGTGAAGTTGTCCTCAGCCTCTACAGTGCGGGTTCGATTCCGGCCGGCCGACGAGAATCCCACATGGCGCAGCAGACCTCTCCCATCTCTCCCGCTGCTCCCCTCAGCAGTGTATTTCGTCAGTCTGGCTGTTCTGTTCCCCTGTCTCTGGTGAATCCTCTCACCCTCCCACGCATCTGGCCTGTACCCCAGCTCTCATATAAAAATAAATCTTTAAAAAAAAATAACCTCAAATACAGTGGGTTAAACAATACACATTAATATCTTTCATATCCAGGTGTCAGAGCAAAACATGGGTCTCACTGGGTTAAAATCAAGGTGAAAACAGGGCTGCATTCCTTCTGGGGGGGTCTAAGGGAGAATCTGTTCCTTTATCCACTTTCTAAAAGCTGCTTACAATCCTTGGCCCATGGCCCCTTCTCCTATTTCCAAGTCAGCAATGGCATCACTCTGGTCTGTGCTTCCACTCTCACCACAACTCTTTCTGTGATTCAGACTCACCTGTCTTTCACTTGCATTGGATTCACTTGGTGATTACACTGGTTTATCTGTATAATACAGAATCATGTCACCATTCCTATCTCAAGATGTCTAACTTGCATCTACAAAGTCCCATTAGCCATGTAAACCATGGAACACAAGTTGCAGGAGTAAAGATTTGTCCTCTGGAGAGCCATTATTGTGCTGGTGGTATCTTCTGATAATTCCTGTCTTTTCTTAGATCAGCCAAAGTCAGCTCCAGCTGTTTATGATCCAGGATGATAATTAGAACACCAGGGTTTCTAAAATTATATTCAATATACCCAAAGATTGACTTAGACCTGCTGAACTGTATTGTCTGAAAATGGGCAAAGGAATATACATTTTTCCCCAGATGATTGTAATATATAGTAAATATCTAAACCCATGAGTTCATGATGTTAATGTTGCATTTACAAAAGGAGAGATTTTATTCTCTTTCAAGAATGTACCTATAATTTATGGTCTCCATTTAAAGTAGGAAAGTTTAAGAGGCAATGTGGTTTAATGAAAAAAGTCTGAGCTTTGGAACTAGATTTCACTTTGAATTTCGGGTGTCATCCTTTTTGATTATGATCCTCCTTGGTTCTGTCCACTCACACTTCAGATTGATCACCTTCCTTTCCAGCAGTATGTTTTCTTATCCATAATATGGGGCAATATCACCTTTTTCATAGACTAAATAAAAATGTGAAATAAGATCTTTATATAACAAATATTAGTGCCTAGAACATGGAAAGTGTACAGTAAATAGTTCCTGTCCAAAACACAGCACAATGTGTATATTCATTAAAAAATTCCCCCACTGACTTAATAGACTTCTATCCAATAATTTTTTTACTTTCCCAGACTTTTACATTTTCTAATTTTCCTTTAGACAGCACAGAGCCGCTGAGATTGTTTCAGACCCACCTTTCTGTCCAGATGTCCTTTCTCTCTGCATTTTTACGTCTACAACTTTTGGATGCAGCCACTGTCGCCTGGTGATTTTTGTTCAGCGTTTTTGATTAAGAGGTTGTGGCATGTTAATCTCTGTCACGCATTTCTCTGTGGACTTTTCCAGCCTGCCGTTCTTTCATCTGGACCTCCTTTAGCCTTCAAAGCCTCTATTCCAGACCAGATTTGAGGTAGGTTTAAAGTCTGGAATAAATCACATTGGGAGGGCCCTTCCAAAAGGAGAAAAAGAAAGATGATAAGAAATAAAGGGAAGGGGTCCTTGAGCATGAGAAGCATGATGACGTCATTACTCCTGGTGTCCAGCTTCTGTGCTCTTTAAAATTTGTGAGATGTTTAGTATGTCTTTACTATTGTGCTATCTGAGATTCAGAATGTATAATTGTCATGATTTTAATAAATGACCAATTAAGATTGTAGACTTTCTAATGGCATCTCTAAAAATCTGTCAGTTACTTTCATATTTTTGCTCCCAAAATCTTTAAGCAAATCTTAAATTATCACCACAAAAACAACCTGATATACACATTTATAGTTGGCATCAGATGAGCTTATTTTTATAAAGAATAACTGAGCTATATTAGTATTAGGGAAAAAATTCAACCACATTGCAGTAATATATCCAGAAAAATAAACAAAACATCTGGTCAACCAGCTGTATTTTGATATACATAAACCATGAAATTGAATTGACAAATTTTCTGAATCATTTTTCTTCCTCTGCTTAAAAAACATTGATCATAACCCCATTTCCTTTGGAAAATAAATTTTCTCTTCTCTTTGGAATATATATGTATTTAGAACACAGTGTCTATATCTAAATTATGACACGGATTTAAGTGTACCCTCAAAGGTAGGTCTCTATAATAGGTCTGTTGAGTGCTCAGGTTAGATTTTGATAACAGAATACCAGGTAGACACACACAAAAACAATAGCCCATACTTTTTTAGGATGCTTAATGATTCAGTTGAACAACATATAACAAAAGTCACTCTTTCTCTGAAAACAAGTAATCCACACTTCTAGGAAATCAAACTACCCTCATTCCTTTATGTCTTGCCCAGTTGGAATTAATAGATGCTCTTTCTGCTCATCATGCATATAACTGTCTTACATTCCTTAATTAATAGACTCCATTTCCATTATTTTTACATGTTAGCTGCAATATCCACAAAATTGTACTTGTGATTTTAAACCTGACCCTCGGTGTCTTGATTTCAGAGAAATGACACAAATTATTGTTCACATCTTAAAATGAAAAACCTCACCTCTTTTAACTTTTCTTCCTAAAACATTTTCAAAAATGGAAATAGAACTATTAAATAAATATAAGCATATATATATCAGTTTATTATAAGCTTGACAGAATCATGCTTTGAAATGTTCACTCTCCTTTACATGCTTCTGTCCCCTGCCAGCTTATTTTTTCTGAAATATAAGAGATTTGAGACACTATTTAAAAAACCAATAAATTCTTTCCTTAACTTGACGTTTTATTTCCTTTGAAATTATTAAATATTAAGTATTAATTTAGGCCCAACCTAGCGTGGGAGGTAAAGAAAGTTACAAACAAGTTTCTTGTTTTTGAAGAAAGTCATAAATTACCTTCCTTTTCTTCACAACTGACTTTTTCAGAAGTTACTTGGTAATGATTTTGTGATAAGGAAGTAAGGAGTTTGTTCCAGAAGGATAGAGAGGCGTCACCATTCTTTCTTATTTAGTGTGTCACTCCCAAAGTCTTTAACATTCTGCAATTTGTAGTTTTCCTGAGATTGGGATTTTTTTTAAAGATTTATTTATGTATACAAGAGCTGGGGTACAGGTCAGAGATATAGGGGGGTGAGAGGATGCACCAGAGACATAGTGGGGAACAGAACAGGCAGACTGACTGAAATACACTGCTGAGGGGAGCAGTGGGCAAGACAGGAGAGGTCTGCTGTGCCATGTGGGTGTCTCCCTGGCCGGCTGGGGATCAAACTCAAATTTGTGCTACAGAGGCTGTGGATTGCTTCGTAATGCAGTGCTTAACCCCTTGCACCACCAGGGAGGCCCTGAGGTTGGGATTTTAATTGTGAGCAAGGGTTGGAAGGATTGATTTTCCAGTGACTATGAGTGCCAGATACGGTATGGTGGTGTCTGTGAGCAACAAGGAAACTGAGAGAAGAGGAAGGGTCCTGAAGGGTAAGAACATCTTTATATTTCACTTTACTGAATATATTGCAACCTTCCCAGGCCAGGTAGTTTCATGGTCAATTCAAGCAGCTTAAAAGAGCATCTTGGAGCCCTTGACATCATCCCCACAGGATTTTTACTAGTATGCAGTGGAAACAAGGCAGCAGGGAGACAGCATCTTGGGCCCCCTGAGAATCTCCATATGCTCTTTCCTCAGGGCTTTCCCTCACAGCTGTCTCTCATCCTCTCATAACTGTTCTCCACTGCCCGGGCTCTGAGTCACGGCGTCCAGAGCTTCAGCCTCCAGGCTCAGGTGTGCACACTCACATATGCCCACACCATACTCCCACCATCAGGCATGCATGCCCTGTGCCCATGATCCCAAAAGCTTCCTGCAGTTAAGGCTGCAGGTGATAGCCACAGAGGCCAACAGTGTAAAAACCTGATCATCACATTTGCCCTACCCTGCAACAGAGTTGAAGTGGGCTGGACCAGTATTTGGTGTGTTCTTTCCCACCGAAATGCGAGGAAGGCATTCTGTTCAGCCCCACCCTCATGTTGGTGTGGAAACAAACAAGAAGAGGGAATTAGACCGTTGACCAAGAAGCAGCTGAGTTGGGTGAATTGTAGCAGATGCTGGCAGGCGTATTGGATCAGTGAAGGAAGGAGGTCTGGAGGTCTGGGGTGACCTCCAGAGCACCAGTTTTGGGGGAAGGCCTCTGTAGGGTAAATGAAGTTTGTTCAGGCTCTTCTGCCTTTGGCCTCTGTGGCTATCATCTGTGGCTATGAATGCAGAAGGTGCTCGGGAGCGTGGACTCGGGGTGTGCGTGCCTGATAGTGGACGCCTAAATGTGGTGTAGGCATGCGTAAGTGGGCACACCTGAGCCTGGAGGCTGAGCAGATAATGGCGGTGTCAGAGAGGATGAAGTATGGCAGAGGTGGTGGAAAGACACCGGAGCCCAGCTATGAGAGGAAGAGACCACGGGAGAACACCAGAAAGAGAAAGAGTCACAGGTTCGCCGGGGGCTGGGAGGCGTGCCAGTGTCTTTTTTCAGTGCTGCTGTCTTTGAGGTGAATGTGTGCATTTGAAGTTATATCTTAGCATATAATTTCATCTCAAGAGTCAGTAGAGTTGGTGCCCATGGATTTAAGAGTTAACATAGATGGCAAAGATATATTCTAGTAGATTCTATGCCTGTGTTTCATACAGACTTGACACAGGTCAGTGGTACATGCACGCATGATTGGATTTCTCAGTTTTACTAAAATGTAGCCAGTCATTCCTATGATTTTGTAAAACTCACTCAGACACATGCACTTACACTTATTTCTTCTGCCCCAAGCTCAATGGCAAGAGACAAACATAATCATAACACTTTTTGAATGAAAGAATACAAAATACCTCATTCTTAGCTATGATGAAAAGGAAATGTGACGAAAAGGTGAAATATGAAAATACATTGTAACCAAAGTTGGCGAAGAAAAAGATTAAAATGTTGAAAAAATAATAGTGCACTCAAAACTTGAGATCTAAAAGTGATGAATCCTGTGTTTCTGAGTGGTCCTGGTGCTAGCAGCAAAGAACTGGGCTTCCTGTTATTTGCTGAGCAAATTACTGGGAGCTGAAAAATAGGAGGCATGCAAAATCATCTTCCAGCTGACTTGTTCTGCAAAGTTCAGTGGATATAAAGGGTGAAAGCTGCATCTGGCAAGAAATAAGAGAAATTCAGCAGGTTAAAAAAAAAAAAGACTGCCACCCACTGCTGCCTATTAAATAAGTATTACAATATTGTCAGTGGCACCTGGGTTTTACTCAAAGTGGAGGAGAGAATACTGAAGGTTGGCAGATGAAAGCCAACAGCTATGCTGAAAATGTAAACACACATACACACAGAGTGTGTAATTTTTTTCATTTGTTTCTCTTCAGGCAAATTAGAGTGTGGACTTCCAAGCTAATTACCCTTATCCTGACTCCCAGAGAGCCAACCGCCTTCTCAATAACTTACAGGTGACTTCCCCACCCCCCTTGCCAGCTCTGCTCTTTGTTTAAACCTTAAAGGCAGATAACCCATTTGTATGAAATTATGCATGACAGTTTGGGGAGTGGGTTATATACTTCTCTGCAAGGCACAGAAAACTAAGCTATTGAATTTCATTTCCAACACCACTTCAGTTCTGGAGGCCAGGGCTTTTTGTAGTTGTGAAAGATAATTTTTCTCAACTTTATTTGCCTTGTGAAGAATTCTGACATTTACCTCAGAGAGTTTTAAAGCGTATGAGAGAAGTATCCATCCCAAATATACTGTTCCTTAAAGTGAGAGGAACAGAGGGAAGCTAAAGACAAAGCAATAAACAACAAAAAGATAAAAACTAAAGGAAAGTCATAGTGTGGATCATTGCTATTTTAAAATATTTGTATAGGATGTAATTTCCTTTTTAATTTTTGTGCAGGCCAGAAATAAATATTTAAATTACTTTTTAATTAATTTGAGTGCTAGTAATGGGTTTCTTCTAAATATAACCCAAGTAGAGAAAGGCTAGCCAAAGGTCCATGTAGCTTCATTTGAGTTACAATAATAACATTTTAAAGCTATTTGAGTCCATCAAATTTTTAACCATTCAGATTTTTTCCTTTTGCACACCAAAGAATAAATATAACAGAACTTAGTCTAGTATCCTGTATGTGAAAAAAAAAAGAAAAGAAAGAAAGTCATAGTATGGGAAACCAAAAGCTTTCTGCAAAACACCTTCCAGGAAAGATGGAATTGTTTATTCAATTAAGATTTTGTTTTTGAATGCACATGAGGTCATAGGTGTATGAAGTTGACTAGAGCTCTGATCTCCTTTTGGGGTTGTGTGTATCACTTCCTTTGCTCCTGGGCACAGGGACTTCAATGAGCTTAGTGGGTGAGCACCCACTTCTGGCAGACAGTTAAACCTGAGTGGTGATATATTCAGCCTCTACCAGAAACAGAATTTTGTCTCAAAAGGAAAACTGTGTGTGTCCAGGACAGCAGAGCTTTCTCCATCTTCTTAAAAGCTTTATCCAGTCTTGATTTTGATTCATTTCAGAATTGGTTGGTTCATAGGACCAAGGAGAAGGTGATACAGCTTGTACTTTGGAAAATCCAACTGTAGATACTTTTCTGACCTTGGGACACATTCAAAGTTGAAAATCTTTGGTCACATGGTAAATGTAACAGATGGCAGATGGCACATGGGTGTGGGGTATGCATGCCTGATTGTGTACACTTGGATTATGAGTGTGTGAGCCTGTGCAAGTGTGCATACCTGAGCCTAGTAGTAAGGCTAAAGGCAGCAATAGTGGTGGCAGGGGTGGGAGGACAAGCAGGCTTAACTACAGAAGAGGGGAGATCCAGATACCACTCTCAAGATAGAATGCCAGGGAGAGCCCAGAGAAAGCATAAAGATTTGGTTGGGAGGGTGGGAGATTTGGTTGCCTGCCTGCCTCCCCATTCCTCCTGCCTGTCCTGTGCCTGCCTCCTTGCATGCCAGCCTTTGTTGGGTGTGCCTGTGTACCTAATTCTTTCCCTGAGGGAAAAATTCACTGAGGGCTTTGGATGCTCTTTATCCATCTGCCCTAATCCACAGTGAACTTATCCTGTGCTTGCTGGCACTAGACCCCTCTATCCAGCAGTAGAATGTTCTAAATTGGTATGAGTTTGTAGGTTATTTTTGATGTTTGGGAATACTATTACCATTAGATTTTTTGGATTTTTTTGAACATTCCTAGATCCTCAGACTAACCTACCAAATCATACTACACAGTAATGTTGTCCTTTCAGATGCAGGGAACATCTATACCAGGTCACTTGTTGCCCAGAAACGAGCCGTAGTAAGCTCTTCTCTGTTCAGATTTTATTTCCCAATTTTTTGAATGTGTCAAAGACTTTTTCTTGCTCTTCAAATCCAATTAACATGGTTTTGTCAATGCTCTGGACCTGTAGGTAGTTCTGTGTGTTGTGAAATGATCAGGTTCCCTTCCAATTAATTTGTGTCTCAAAGCAAGAGAGCTGGGAAAATCCCAGTGCAAAACAGTTGAAAGCCTCTGTTCCTTCAAAACAAGAGCAATGTAGAGAAAAGAGCACACTTCAGATCAATCAGTGCTTGCCAGGTGTCCACGTTTCACTCATTTGCAACACCAGTTGTAATTGAAGTCTTTATCTGATTATTGTCATTGATAATTCTCTCCTACCTTCCAAAATCTACTGACTTCACCAGCTGAGTTGGATACCTTCAGGGGATGTGACCAGAATCACTGCCTTTGCAAATTTCAAATCTCTGACAGTGGTAGTAATATTTGTGGAATGCAATGATTCTTATGTATGTTGACATGAAAAGGAAGCATGGAGACTTCTGTATGATAGTCTGTTCAGGAAGCTAATGTAGGAGTCTATGAGTTGTTGAAGATTATTTCAGATATGCACTCAAGAACTGGAAGAGGGCCTCCCCGGTGGCGCAGCGGTTGAGCGCTGGGTTGCGAAGCTGCCCGCGGCCTCTGCGGCGCCGGTTCGATCCCCGGCTGCTCCCCTGCCACCGGAGGAGGGTCCCACATGGCGTGCAGACTTCTCCTGCCGCCCGCTGCTCCCCTCAGCAGTGTACTTCGGTCCTTCTGCCTGCTCTGCTCCCCGCTCTGGCTCTGGTGAATTCTCTCACCCTCCCGCGCTTCTGACTGTACCCAGTGCATGTATAAACAAAACAAACAAACCAGCAAACAAATAAAAATAAAGCATGCCTCTATAAAAAAAAAAAAAAAAAAAAGAACTGGAAGAGCAAGCATGTGAGGTTTTTGGAGTCCAACCAGACTTATTAATATACAGACACACATTACACTGTAGTTATTAATAGTCCTTGTAAGCTGCATCTCTGAATCTAGTGACTTTCCACACACCCAGGTGTTAATAGAAGCTAAACAGCCATAGGCTGTTATTGTTTGTTATATAAATTTCTGTTTCCAGGATAAAGTGGGAGCTGATGTTAGTTATAGAAATGGAAGCAAAAGTAGTTAAATTGGGAGGAATCTCATGAAGAGTCACTTTTTGTTGAAGAGCTCATTCAGTGGAAGAGGTCATTAACAGCTTCAAAGAAGGAAAGAGTTTGGTGGTGATAGCATTGCCACAGCTCTGATCGGCTATGTCATGCCCTGTAGCCCTGTTAGTTTTGCAGTTGATCCCTCTCCTTCCTGAATAATGCCTTGACTTTCACAGAAGACATTAGGAGAGCCTGTGTATTTTACTTACTTCAGAATGCTACAAAACAGAGCCTGGAATTTTGTATTTATCTTTATGACTTTATGCAGCTTCTAAAAATCATCATTTCTATACCATAGCCTTGAACAATCCCCAGGTGTGTGTTACTATTGTCTTGCCAAGTCCTCCGGGAGTGTGACATGTCATTTTCAGGTGTGCAGAAACCTATTCACAGCAGTCACTCCACATTCAATTCTTGATGTTTCATGTTTTCTCTTCTGTAGCAGTGGCCACTCAGATTCCTCCCATCAGTCCTCAGTGGGCACATGATTTCTGACTGTCAAAGTGAGAATTCAATGTTCTGTTCCACTTAATATCCCTTTCCTAAATACTGAGTGAGTTTTCACTTAACCAGATGACCAAGAGCAGGTTATCTGATTTCCCCCAAGATTTCTTGTTGGCAAATCCATGCCCTGTGCCAATTTCTATGCCAGTCAGGGTTCTGTTATACGGAAATCAGAAACAGACCCCCTGCTCCTTTAACAGGAAAGGACTTTTTAGGAAATAACTGTCACAGAATCAGGTCACAGAATCCCATGGAAGTCTGAAGAACCAATATCAGATATTGAAAAACAAATTAGGGGAGCTGGAAGTAGAGTGACCAGCTTATTATGGTTTGTCCTGGCCCCTCTGAGCTTTAGCACTGAAATACCCCAGGAAACCACTTAGTCTGTGGCAAACTGGAACAGGTGGCTACTGCAGCTGGATGTCTCTGTAACAGCTTAGGTCATGCCACAGAATAGCCTGGTGATGTGGCTGCTGTGACCTTCACTGGATCTTGGAAACTCATTGATTCCATTGTGATGGCTCTTACTTAAAATTATCCCACTGCTAATATTCTAAATAGTCTCAATTTTTTTTTTGACCATTGCATGCAGATTAAATATTCATCTATTTTTTAATAAAGATTTATTTATTTTTGCATATAAGAGCTGGGGTGTAGGCCAGAGGTACGGGGAATGAGAAAATTCACCAGAGTGGAGAGCGGAACAGGCAGATCTACTGAAATGCACTACAGAGGGGAGGAGCACATGAGACATGAGAGGTCTGCTGCACCATGTGGAACAGCTCCCTGGTTGGGGATTGAACTCATGCTGCAGTGGCTGCTGATAGCTTCATAGTGCTGAGACTTAACCCCTTGTGCCACAAGGGAGGCCCCGTTCATCAATTTTTGTCTCTTGACTGACCTAGTAACTGCAAGAGTCAGGCTTTGTATGATTTTAAACTTTTCTTATTGGACATTCAGCTCCCATCTCATTGGGACTCTCATTAGGCTAGTGAGACAAAGAAAATAAAGAGGATTCTGTTCTAACTGTAAGTAAACAATAAGATGGGTCAAAGGGAGGTAACAATAAAAAAAATGCAGAGGTTATAAAAAACTCACATAAGAACATGGCATATAAAAAAGCCTCACATCAGTTTGTTAGGCAGCTATCAGAATTGACAATACAATTATACTAATATTGATAAATGAGCATAAGGCTGGACCAATTCAACATTCAACCACACAAAGAAAATTCCCAAAATGAGCAGCGGGTGAGCACAACACAGATCATTGACATCTTGGGTTCACTTATTTTAATAGTATTCAGTAATGCTCTTTTCAATGAATGCTGTTTTAACCTCTAGAGGAAAGTAGAATACAACACTAAAATTAAATGGAAAACAAGATATCTCATGTAATTTTTTCTGAAACATTGAATCTGAATTTCTGATTAGTAGGCATTCAAGGCAATCA